GCCCTCAGCAGGTGCTGGGAGGAGAGAAGAGGAGAGAAGCGGGCAGCGCTGTAAAGGAGGGAGGGCACACTGGGGAACCAGAGAACAGGTGGAAGGGGGTGCAGACAATAGAACCGCCCCCCCCCCCCCTCAGTGCAACCAGAGGGTGTAGTAGCTGCCAGTGCTGCAGGGGGTTCAACATAAGTCATAAGTGTCAGCAATGAGGCAGTACAGCCAACCCTCAGGTGCCTGGGCCCCCTTTTGAACTGATGGGGCCTGGTTGTGGTGCAGGAGGGATGACTGCACTGTTTTATCAGCGGCTCTGGCTGTCTAAATGGCAACTCCCCTTACTTTGAGGACATTTCCTCTACTACTTTTTTGTTGCACCTCCTGGACAGGAAGTGAAGAGAAATTTCCCCAGCTGGACACAGACTGCAAAAACCATAACCTGATGGATGGGGGTTCTAAGCCACCCCTAAAAAAAACAACAAAAAAAAAAAGTTTTGGCCATACATAAACTTTATTAACTTTTAATTTTCAGCACTTGACTAAAATACATGGATGTGCTAATTGTTTAAATAGCACAGTAGCTAAAATAAAAAAAGAACTTGTGTGCTTTATAAAATATTAAACCTTAAAAAAAGGACAGTCTATACCAGTGATGGCGAACCCGTGGCACGCGTGCCACAGCCGGCACGCCGAGCCTTATCTGTGGGCACGCCAGGAGAATCCAGCGGCGCGCTGTCTTCCCGGCTGTAGTGTGCGTGACAGCCGGGTCCCAAGTGCGCATGCACAAGAAGCAGTGCACTTTGTGAATGGTAAGGCGGTACCTGGGACACATGACAGATCCCAGAAGCCGCCGGACCAATCACAAAGCGCAGCGCTTCTCGCGCATGCGCACTGGGCATCCGGCTGTCCGACGAGCGCCCACACTACAGAAGACGGGAAGACAGCGCGCGGCTGGATAAAGGAACAGGTAAGATAAAAAAAAAAACTCTGCGGAAGTAAGAGCGGGTACCTGTCAAATTCAGGTACCCGCTCCCCCTCCCTCCCCAAAGGTCAGCAGTCATCTCTGTACTGTCCGCAGTCTCTGGTCATCCCTGTGCTGTCCGCAGTCTCTGGTCATCCCTGTGCTGTCCGCAGTCTCTGGTCATCCCTGTGCTGTCCGCAGTCTCTGGTCATCCCCTGTACTGTCCGCAGTCTCTGGTCATCTCCTGTACTGTCCGCAGTCTCTGGTCATCCCTGTGCTGTCCGCAGTCTCTGGTCATCTCCTGTACTGTCCGCAGTCTCTGGTCATCCCTGTGCTGTCCGCAGTCTCTGGTCATCCCTGTACTGTGTCCGCAGTCTCTGGTCATCCCTGTACTGTGTCCGTAGTCTCTGGTCATCTCCTGTACTGTGTCCGCAGTCTCTGGTCATCCCTGTACTGTGTCCGCAGTCTCTGGTCATCTCCTGTACTGTGTCCGCAGTCTCTGGTCATCTCCTGTACTGTGTCCGCAGTCTCTGGTCATCCCTGTACTGTGTCCGCAGTCTCTGGTCATCCCTGTACTGTCCGCAGTCTCTGGTCATCCCTGTACTGTGTCCGCAGTCTCTGGTCATCCCTGTACTGTGTCCGCAGTCTCTGGTCATCCCTGTACTGTGTCCGCAGTCTCTGGGCATCCCTGTACTGTGTCCGCAGTCTCTGGGCATCCCTGTACTGTGTCCGCAGTCTCTGGGCATCCCTGTACTGTGTCCGCAGTCTCTGGGCATCCCTGTACTGTGTCCGCAGTCTCTGGGCATCCCTGTACTGTGTCCGCAGTCTCTGGGCATCCCTGTACTGTGTCCGCAGTCTCTGGTCATCCCTGTACTGTCCGCAGTCTCTGGTCATCCCTGTACTGTGTCCACAGTCTCTGGTCATCCCTGTACTGTGTCCGCAGTCTCTGGTCATCCCTGTACTGTCCGCAGTCTCTGGGCATCCCTGTACTGTGTCCGCAGTCTCTGGTCATCCCTGTACTGTCCGCAGTCTCTGGTCATCCCTGTACTGTGTCCACAGTCTCTGGTCATCCCTGTACTGTTAATTAGTTTGCACTACTGTACGAGTTGTTTTTTTCTAAACCAAAAGCTCGATATTCAGGTTTCATTGCAGTGTTGGCACTTTGAAAGAAATAAGTTGGTTTTGGGTTGCAGTTTGGGCACTCGGGCTCAAAAAGGTTCGCCATCACTGATCTATACAGAAATAGAAATGCAAATCATGGAATACTCACGGTTTTCAGACTTTGATGATTTTTTTTTTTTTTTTAGAGGTCCTTCCTTGTCTCATACTTATGGCTGGGGCTGATAAATTAGCTTTTAGTATAAGAAGATCATCAACAATAGCTTCTGGCATAGAATTCCCAGTGCAGAGGGAAATACCCCGAGGGTCCATTTCACATGAGAATATTCATAGCATCCTCAGAATTATTTGCTTCAATTGCATTGAAAAGTCTGTATTACAGAAATCCCAACCAATCTGAAGCTTAGTCGGTGTCGCTGCATTGCAGTGTTTGGATTCACAGGGCCAGCTTGGCTCGTAGGCCACTCAAGAGTCAGCGTTTCCCTGCAGAGGGTATGCACAGGTGTGTGCGATCCGCTATGGCCAGGATTCTGTACAAATCAATGACAGGTGGATAGGCGCCATGGCTGTTCACACTTCCGAGCGGTTCCATGTGATTGCAACAGATGAAGAACCCTGGACCCGGATTGTTTGCTTCCAGGACTCCTTACACCGGTGCATACCCAGTTCAGAAAAATGCTGTTTCTGGTCAGTGCACGACCCAAATCTGCTGTGTGAACGAGCAATTACAATGTAAATAGTTTGACCTACAGTATCTCACAGAGGTGAATACACCCCTCACATTTTTGTAAATATTTGATTCTATCTTTTCATGTGACAACACTGAGGAAATGACACTTTGCTACAATGTGATGTAGTGTGTGAACAGCTTGTATAACATGTAAATTTGCTGTCCTCTCAAAATAACTCGCCACGCAGCCACAATGTCCAAATTGGGCCCAATTAGCCATTTTCCCTTCCCAGTGTCATGTGACTCGTTAGTGTTACAAGGTCTCAGGTGTGAATGAGGTGCAGGTGTGTTAAATTTGGTGTTATGGCTCTCACTCTTTCATACTGGTCACTGGAAGTTCAACATGGCACCTCATGGCAAAGAACTCTGAGGACCTGAAAAAAAGAATTGTTGCTCTACATAAAGATGGCCTAGGCTGTCCTAAACCCTACTGAGCATCTGTGGGGCATCCTCAAATGGAAGGTGGAGGAGCGCAAGGTCTCTAACATCCACCAGCTCCGGGATGTCATCATGGAAGAGTGGAAGAAGACTCCAGTGGCAACCTGTGAAGCTCTGGTGAACTCCATGCCCAAGAGGGTTAAGGCAGTGCTGGAAAATAATGGTGGCCACACAAAATATTGACACTTTGGGCCAAATTTGGACATTGTCACTTAGGGGTGTACTCACTTTTGTTGCCAGCGGTTTAGACATTAATGGCGGTGTGTTGAGTTACTTTGAGGGGACAGCAAATTTACATGTTATACAAGCTGTACACGCACTACTTTACATTGTAGCAAAGTGTCATTTCTTCAGTGTTGTCACATGAAAAGATAGAATAAAATATTTACAAAAATGTGAGGGGTGTACTCACTTCTGTGAGATACTGTAGCTCACTAGTCATCCTTAACTCTCCCTGTATCAAGAATGCTGAACCTTGTACTAATCTTCCCAATAGCTTTCTGTCTACCCCAACACTGACCACTCTGCACCAGGATCTTGTACACCAATGAATAAAAGGGGAAGATTAGTATACCCTAGTTCTAAGCCAATCATTGTATGCAAGGTTGCATTTCAGCTGTGTGTGGCAACCTTTTGTCTACCCACAAATTGGAGATTATTGCAGTTTGATAACTGGATCAAGGAATGACTGCATGCTTGTGGACACACTGTAATCTGCTCCCAGGATGACCAATCTTGGAAAACAAAAATCAGTAGTTTAGGAAGGTGTTTCTAGAGTGATTCACTGTTTCCTTGAATATTAAGCCTGACTTCTGTGGTATCATGTGTAAACAGGCAGACCTATCTGAAAGGATTAAACTTCTCATGGAAAGACCTTTTTGGAGTTGGGCCTTCTTGCATCTCACATCTATCATCCACCAATTAACTTCTGTACAACCGCCCTGTTGGATTTTCCCCACTCGATCAGTGCTGCAGGATCAGTGTATTCTGATGACAGGGAAGTCTCCCCAAATGGTGGATGGGTGATTCAGGTCACTTTTTTTCTTTCCACCTGCTGGTTGATCGAAAAAAAAAAAAACTCACTAATGTATGGGCTACCTAAGGCTGGCCATAGAGTAGTTGGTTGAACAAAAAAAATAACTGGCTAGATTTGAGGTGGATGGGGGGAATCCTTCCCACGGTTTAATTGTATTCTAACAGAAGTGAGACTTCCCCGCCATCTGAATACACAGATCAGCACTGCAGTCTATAGCCTACAGCGCTGATCAAGGGTTTTTTTGTTTTTTTTTTACCAACAGGGTGGCTGAACAGAAGTCAATCAGTAGATAGACCGTGACCATATGTAGATGGAAATTCAGCCGGGCCCTATTGTACCAGACAAATTTTGATCCATGTATGGCCAGCTTAAGAGAATTCTTGCCTTAAAAGCAGAAATGAGGTCCTCTTTAACTTACAGAAGACTGGGCTAGAAGGATAACTGGTAGACACGGCCAAAATATAATAGATTATATTTCATTCATTGTAATATATTGTAAACAAATGTACATTTTTTGGGCTCATGGTGTATACAAGTGTGCAGCAGTTACTCATCATTATCTCATTTTTCCATTTAATCCACTAACCCATATTTTGCGTTTTTGTTGCAGATATCCCTGAGGAGCTGGTCTCCCCCTGCTACACAGACCAGTATGAACAGGAACACGTGAAGCCAGCTGTGATCAGCCTCTCTTACTGTCAGCAGATGTGTACTGCAGAGTATACCGCAGAGCATTACCCCATGACCACTCCCCTCCTAGAGACAATGCTGCCCTCCTGCTACTCTTGGCGCGGAAGGGGTCTGCTCCGGTGCACCAAGGGGAGCCTGTGAAGACTAGTGACCTGAGAGAGAAGCCCATTCGTATGGTAAGAGGATAAGGACACTGGGTTGGAGGCAGGGGGATGATGAAAGGATTATGTGTCCACAAAGCTTAGGAAGGTATTCCAAACATCCCCACCAATGCTGTTCAACTCTGCAAGGAAACCCAGTCATTTCATGAAACAATGCTGGACCAGTTTTAGGTGACCATATCTGAAAATTACACCGTGAAAGCTTTAGTCCATTTTAGTCTTGTTCATATTACAGGGTATTGAAATGTAGAGAATCTATCTGGATTTATCATGATGCTGAGTTGAGTTTTTTTAGATCGAAAAATGGGGGCCCTTCTCGTAATGCTGTGTTCAGCAACCTTACATTCTTTATTTTATTTAGCTGTTAGAAGAAATGTTTTGTAGGTGTGAGACAATGGAGAAAGATCTTATTCTAAACAAATTTGCAAATGATTACTGGGAACCCGTGAAACCAATCGGAGATCTGCTAATGGTATCCCGCAAATCCTGCACCAGTCATAGTCCCCTGTTGGATAACATTTGTCTGTTAGAAAGACTTAGTTGCTTACCAGGTGCTAAAGATAAGTTTTGGAACTTGTACATTAACAAGCTTTTATAATTTTGGCAATATTTGATCATACAGTCATGAAACACATTTGACCTGTCTCCCTGATCCAAAGTATTCCACCCTCCTGAAATAATTGTGATCAGTGGAAAAAAGCAGATGGGGTACATTTGCTATATATGCACACATATCCTTTAGGCCTTCAACACACTAGTGATCCTCTTGCAGATAGAAACTTGCCAGCAACAGGATCGCTGAGGAGTGTAAAGAAACCACTCTTGCTGGACAGACCCACAAAGTGTTGCTCTCTCCAATGGCAAACCAACAAGGTGTTGCTCTCTCCAAGGCCAGAACAACAAGGCGTTGCTTGCCCTGAGGTCAGACCAAAAAGTGTGGTTTCCTCCAAGGCTGGACCAACCAGGTGTTGCTCCCTCCAATGCTGGACCAACAAGATCTTGTTTCCTCTGAGACCAGAAGAACAAGGCATTGTTTCCTCAGAGGCTGGACCAACAAGGCATTGGTCCTTTTAGAGGCTGGATCAACAAGGCATTGGTCCTTTAGAGGCTGGACAAACAAGGCATTGGCCCTTTAGATGCTGGACAAACAAGGCATTGGTCCTTCAGAGGCTAGACCAACAAGGCATTGCTCTCTCTGAAGCCAGACCAACAATACATCACTTCCTCACTGGCAATAGAGATTTTGCAATGTTTCATCTAGAGAGAGCCAAGAAGGCAGTGATGCAGTAGAAACAGGTGATTTAGTTCTTTTGCCCTTTCTAGCAATTCTATAACTGGAGAGTTGCAGTGGGCCTTAAGGTACGGATATTCTTTTTTTTGCTTCCTGTGAAATGCATAACTTGGCTTTCATTAGGACTGGAGTTTAGCTTTAATATCTTGCATAGCACAAATCAGACTAAGGCTAGCCATACAATGCTCTAATTTTGGATCTTTTCTGCTAAATTGGCTGTAAGTGGCCTTGTCGGCAAGACCTGGCTTGACAAACATTAGTTTAAAAATTGAAGGAGCCAGGTGGAACATTGTCAGCCAAACTATGACTGCATCCAGCCAGATGCAGTCACTGTTTGGGTATTCAGGCAGATGCTGTGGCTGTTTGAATACAATACAAAGCCATTAGTGCAGGTTTCCCCTGTTTAGAATGGATAGGGGAATCAGGTGATTTCTCTTATTCAGCCTATAGGGCTGAACAAGAGAAATCTGCAAGTGTATGGCTAGCATAAGGGTCTTGCAGTATAAGCAAATCCAACTCGTTTGCATTGCACAGTGCTCCAAATCCTATGTTTTTAGACATTGGGAGTTGTAGGGGGTGTATGTAGGCAGCCTAAAGAAGGACAGAGGCACAGAACAGAGACTGTGCAGTGTGGCAGCATGTGTAGATTATAAAAGTGACTGAACAGAATTAAAAATATATTCACAGGATAAATAACTCACACACACACACGGCATCAACAGCAAGGCTTCTACTTTCCATTCATCATACATCTGCATCAGAGGCTGGACATCAGCTCTGAGGAAAGGGATTTGTCCCCGAAACGCGTCAGCAATTTGACCACACTGACAGTGAGAACAACTTGCCTGCCGTTGTGGCCATTGTCATTTTTCTATGCTTTTTAGATACATGCTTCGTCTGTGAGTATGTTTTTATTATTTCACTCCTACAATAAACCTTGGATAATGCACTAGGTGTGTGCGCCACCTGTTTTCTCTCTATCCAGTGGCTGATTTCCCCGTCTGAGGAGGGCTGCACCCCTGAAGCATTTCCTTTGGTTGTCGCTGTCCTGGTACCCTTGGCTTCCCTTTTGGCTGTGCATATCCTGAGGCGCTGGAGAGTACATACGACACACGCACACACTTACACATATACACACACACACACAGTCTAGCTTTAATACTAAGGATTAAAGTGTTACTAAACCCACAACTATAAAAATCAGTCTGTATATGCAGTAAAGCATGCTTGTTATACTCACCATGGAACCTAAGGGGTTAATCCTCTGAATTGACTGTTTGATCCTATCTCTGATTCTCCCCTTCTTCTACTGTCCCCAATCCATCTGCTGATACTACAGAGCTCTAGGAGTCACTCTGCATATGCTCAGTTTGGTGTGTATTGCTAGAGAGTTGTTTTTTTTCTTTGGAAAGGTGCATGTGATCAGCACATGGCCAATCAGCACTGTCCAGACACAGGGGCAAGGGGTTTTACAGCCTTATAGGACAGTCAGAGCAGAATGAAAACTCCTCCTACAAGCTTTAACCAGTGCTGGGCCGGGCACTGATAGAAGTCACAAGATTGCTCTAACTGCTGATGAGAAAAGGTATTTAGCAGTTTATATTTACTAAAATAATAGCATTTCCACGTTCTGTGTACTGTGGGACACCAGATATAGTGAATGCAGGGTCCTGGGTTTAGCGACACTTTAAGTATCAGCAACCATGTAGATAGTAGCAGGTGTGATTCATTGGTATCTGCACCATTCTTTCTGCTTTGCTTGTGTTTTTATAAGTGAACCAGGTTGTTGAACAGATAAGTCCATGTAAAGAACATCTGTTGGTCACATCACCAGGGACATTCTTTGTCTGTGGCGGAGCTGGCATCTGCCATCCTGTAAGTGGAATGTGAATGAAGTACTTGTTTGAAGGTTATTGCAGTAGAATCACCGCATACTGAGTGTAGTGCCTGCACTGAGACGAGGAACAATTGCATGTGGTCTTTGGATGCCGGCCATGTACTGTCTGCAGCATCTGAAAGATGAGGGATCTTGTCGGTTCAGCAGGAGGCAGGGTGAAAGCTGGTCATACATCGAGAACAACAAAAAACTCTTGGCAAATAGATACATACAGAGACACAACCAAACAAGAACCCAAAGTTGAATTCATCTTGATCGGTAAGTTGAGATAGAAAGGAAGGAACAAGGATAAAACCAGAAAAGGGAGAGTTCATAGTAGACCTCACCAGCCTGGTGATGATCAGCGCTAGTCCAAAGAGCAGGCAGGGGATGGAGCATTGGCACAAAGTATACAGAACGACAGCTATCTTGTAGGAAACCCTTGCTGACCTTTCTATCAACATGCTAGAGGTTTTGAGTCGCTGATCCAGAGCTAGCATGTGGCTGCTGATCTGCATATTTGCTCCAGGTCAGTCATTCAGAAAATAGTAAAGCCATCAACATGAGAGTCAAAAAATTAGTTTTTTTTCAGGCAAGGTCAACAATGCCAGTTTACCTATTTCTTTCAGTGCAGGTTTCCTGTAAGTGTTAGCACAATACAAACAATTTCAGCTAATGGAGCATGCACCCTAGCTTCTTTTTAAGCTCCTAGCAGCTAGTTATGAGCATTTTATTTGAGCAGAAAAAAAAAGTGGGGTGTTTTTTTTTTTTTTTTTTGTATTTTTGCCAGCAAAAAAAAACAAAAATGCTGAACGCTCCTAAACACTCCCTAACAGCTTTTTTTCTAGCTTTTTTTTTTTTCCTATGTGTACTGTAAAAATGCTAATAAAATGCTAACGCTCCCTAAAAACGCTATTGCCAGCATTTTTGATCCAGCTTTTTTTTTTTTTTTAGCTTAAAAAAAAAGCTACAGTACATGGAGCCTAACAGTGTATGTAAAGGCAAAGCTTTTTCTTTTTAGTTTTGGATGAGGCAGTGAAGGGTTAGACCCTCTTTAAGGTTTTTGTTGTCATCTGGGTCTCCACTTAGGAGATTTGCTATGTTCATCATGTTGACTTTTGCCACAGAGACAAAGTGGGGGAACGCTACATTTTAGGGTTGTCATCAGAACAAGAAATGAAGGCAAATCTTCCAATAGGGACAGATGTTATGGTGACAACTGTCTAAGACAGGAATGCTCTATAGTTCAGACAGAGTTTCTCTCATTTCTCATTGCGCGTCTTGGTGAGGTGAAGAGAAATCTCTCCAGCAAAAATTTAACACAATATGGGTTTTTTTTTGTATAATTTTTCTTTTTTTTTTCATGTGCAATAAAATATACAACTAGCTACAGTGTTGGCTTGTTTGAATTAAATTATGCCAAAACATTTGCTACACTTTTCAGCATGTTAATTACAGCACATCAAAAATAACAGAAGAAGAAAAGAAAAAGGAGTAGAATAATTGGGGAGGGGTGGGTGGGGTTTTTTCAGATACCATGGTACCAGACTAAGTAAATGGAGGAACTATTTTATAAAATAGATTGTAAGCTCCAAAGAGCAGGGCCCTCAATCCCCTCATGTTTTGCATTGTATTGGTATTATTCTGTCACATGTTCTGTCCCCCTTTGTAATGTACAGCACTGAGCGAACTATTGGCGCTTTATAAATACTGTATAATAATAATAAAATTGAATGGATTGAGTGGGATTTTGTAGCAAGTAATGTGAAGGATCCTCTAGTAAATTTGAGTCATTCACTCAATCTTTTTTTTTTTTTTTTTTTTTTTTTTTTTTTTTTTTTTTTTTTT